ACTTTGGATTTAACGTAATAATTAGTTCTTTATATACATTTCATGGCAAATATTGAATACGAGTTAAGTTAAGAAGCAAGCAAAGAAATTAATGTAACAAGAAATTTTATAGATTCAATCAGAAAATAAATCTATTAAATGTTCTAGTTATAAAAAATCGAGTCTTATCATGATAACTAGAAATTCTTGTTTGATTTAACCAAAATGCCTTCAATCATATACGTCTTGTTGGTACAATCAAACGATTTTTCTCACTGCATCCGCGAATTTTTTGAAACAGCCACGTGAAACGTATATAATTTCGCGATCGTGCCAAATCGTGGACTTTGATGCAAAATAAGTCTCTAAAAATGTTTTGCGAAAACATATTTATACTTGCATGAGTTCATATGTCAGTATCGGTCCAGTTTCCATCCGCTTCATGAAAATAACGTAGTCAATGATATCTATACAAGTACAAATACAGTATAGATAAGTGTAAATTAATCCTTATTCAACTTGTCGTAGAATTACCGTCGATTTTGCACTTTTTTATCGCGTATCTATGTCGCGTGAGATATTAAAGCGTGTCGCGAGCGGTAGAAAATCGATAATAACCCGCGACATGTGAATCGTTTACATTTTTCATAGTATTTTCATAGAAAAAAAAAAAATGTGGAAATTCAAAGTCATATGTATATTCATTCGATACACGCGTGACAGTTGCGCGCGTTTCGCGATTCGTAAAATTGGTATATAAATGTTATCTGGTCAGAAATCAATTTAAATAATTTAAGCTTATCGGTGATGGTGAATTGTCGACCGTTGTTGTCATCGAGAAATCGATGCTTTTATAGCGCGATCGCCTGTTATATTGGCAAATGATTTATTTCAATGTAGCAACAACGCGGTGATTAAGGTCGTGCTTACATTGAAAACGCGAATGCGCTAATATTGATTCGCCGTAATACGACAGAAACGATGACGACCACAATTTGTAATTCTCGCCGGAGCGTTTAACTGAACATTGTTATTTTATGCAGTCAGTTAAACGTTAGGCGAATTTTCATATAGTCGTGTAATGCTTTATACATGATAAAATATACTATCATAGAAACATTTTATAATTTAGATTTCGCGTAAATATTTGTTAGGCAAATATATTGATTTTTAAATCTCACAAAATTATTAAATGTAATTTAGCTATGTATGATTCTGGTACTAATAATAAAAACGTTAATTTATATGTTATAATAAATTCGATATCATGGAATAGTATAATATATTTAATTATTATGCAAAATTAATTATTTATTAATACATTCAATTTAAATCTATTCGATATAAAATTTTAAACAGCTCTTTATATTATTTGATATAAATAACTCTAGATTTCTAGATAACTTTTAATTATAAAATAGCATATCAATTAAATAAATATCAGATTGTAAAATTATTTATTACATTAATTATGTATTAAAGAAAGTGAAAGATTGATGTGAAACTTTTCCATGTGTTCTACTAAAAATTCTAAACCAATCTAGGACGTTTTGGTGTGGTGATGATACATATATAGTATAAATATGATGGTATTAAATACAAAAAAAATGTTTTTTGTAAGAAACGATTTGCTGTATTTCGGTTCTAAAAAGAATCAAACTGTGATTAACATAGAATAACAATGATAGAATAACGACGAGTTGACGTAGATAGTGTCGCACGCGTGCCAAGTAAATACAAAGCTTTAACCATATTTAAAAACCAGGACTATACAAGATCAACATAAGAATTAGAATCGTGAGCAATTTGCGTCGACAATTATGTAAATGTCTTTCGATCATAACTACAACGTTGCATTATAATAAAGCTATTTACAAGTTACAATATCTCGTAATAATCATTCTCTTGACGATGTTCTTCATCTTATAATGTCATGTACACACAAAATTCGATGCGCTACGTAATATCGATAGTTACTAAAACTTTGGTTACGCAAAAATAGACGCAGATATATATTTATATATATTTATACATATACGTGTATGTATATATGTATATCCGAACTATTTGCCATCTCGTTAGATTTGTTAGAGTTATACGCCTATAAACAAATGTACAATAATTACAAGGGAAATAGGACATGTGTGGCTATTATAAATAGTACATATATAGTGATTACATTATATCAATTATTTTTCATAGCCGCAAAAACGGAGAATGCTTCAGTCGAAAGTGATGAAAAAGAAATTGTCGCATCGTGTACAGTTTTGATGTAAATTTCAAACGAATAAAATGCTGAAATTGCATTCAGTATTGTTTTGCTTGCGTTAATATTTAAATGTTTTTGTGCGCAAATATGCATATTTTAAAAATATTTATTTACAAAATGTCAAGTATGCAAAAAAGTAACTCTTTCAATTCAGAATTAATACACATTAAACGTCTAAAATAATTAATCATATTATTAACTTTTACTTGTGGGTCACACATTTTTTGCTCTATTCTTAGTCACACATATGAGTCATAATATCTTGTCGCAGTTTTAGTTGTGCTTGAAAAAATGTATGAAAGAATCTAGAAGAATTTATATTCTTTGATATCTGTAAAAAAATGATCAAAGTTGAAGAATAAATTTTAAACATTTTTTTTATTGATTAAAAACTTTGAGATATTCTACTGTTAAAATATCAATAGGGTCAAAAAATGACCCATATGTGATCTTTAAAAGTCAATTATATTTTTGTGAACAATACAAGACAAATATACTGTTTCAAATCAGAAAAAAAATATTTTCGTTTAAAAAGTAAAGATCAATATCAGATATATTTATTCTATTATAAATATTTTGCTTATAATCCAAATTCAATTTGAAAAAATTGACTGGTCGCAATAATAATACAAAGAACAATATAAATTATTTCATTACGCGTTGTGAAGCACACGGAATGTATTTCAATGCATTCTTCTTTTCAACGTAAACGAGATGAACATTTTTTTTTAATGCTGTCGTAAAACCAGTTCTTTTTTTAATATAAAACTATCGCAATAGTTTTCGTGTAACTGCAACCAAAAAAATAATCTATATTGATCGCTGAGCGATGAAATAAATGTCTGACAAAGTATTTGTCTACTCAATTACCATTTTACTTTCATTCGAAATAAAATCCCCGTAATTGCGTGTTCGTTAACAAATTCTAGTCATGCACACATTCGCACGTATATAATAATCTCTTTCGTGGAAGCGCATCGCGTCGCATTCTCTCCCTCTCTTTCTCTCTCAACTTTCTCACTCAAAAATCACAGTTAAACATTGGTTTTTTCGACGTTTGGTGTGGCACTCGTCGTCAGATACTGAGAGATACGTCGGACGCAGCAGACGGACAGAGAATAGATGAAACAATAAAATTGATTTCCGCGTCCCGCAATTTTTAATCGTAAATTAAAATCTTGCCAGTTGTCTAAAAAAGTTTAACTGATTCAACAGCAATGTGTTGAATTGCACATATTCAAAAGTACAGCTTGATTTCCGGACGCATACTGCACCTTTTAATCCTCCATCATAATAAATTTGTCATTTTTGTTTAAAGTTGACGCGTGATTCGTTATTCTATACTTGGGAAAACTAGTTGATCATAATTGTGACAGTAATTAGACAGAAATTAATGGATTATTGGATTCCTCTCCGCACATTGCGGATGTTGTTTCTATGCGGATCAACTTGATAATAGAAATTATGAGCTCCAAAGATGATCGAAACTCGCTCGCTTCGATATATCGCAATACTTGTGATTCTAGTTGAATATCTATAGTCAATTAGAATAATAAATATAAGGAAATTACGAGTTTTTGAGAGAGATAGTGCCGTGAAGTAGATGAAAGCAGCTGATAGCTTTCGGCAAAATAATGCACCAAGAACGTTTAAGTCTTGACCAGCAGGTCCATAACAGTAGAAAGTACAGTATAATTTTGTTATTAGAAACCAATACATATAAATATATATATATATGTATGTGTATATAATGAAAGTTTTTAAAGTAGGTATTTTATAGAAATATCCATTTCTGTAATCGATCTATCGAAGACAAATTTTATATGCACAGTACATACATACACATGTGATTGCACCATGAGACATGTAATTTATCTCTGACAACTTTGATAATGCGATGCGTTTTAATAGCAATATCTTTCATGAGACTTTTACATTTCTATTATTATTAAAATTTTATACAATATAAAATTGTGATAATAATAACAGCAATGTAAAAGTCTCGTACAAGATATTGATATTAAAATGTTTAATCTCATTTATATATATAAGAAAAGATAAATCTTAAAACTCGCATGAAACTAATTAATAGCAGAGATCGGAAGTGAAGGAGTTTTAAGGAAAATTTTAATATCAAAATGTTTGAGCTATAATAGTTTTTAAATAAGAAATTTTTAAAGTTGAAATTAATCAAATTGCCCGAAAATAACACGATACATTATAGCTACAAGAAATGTTTTTTTAATCATTAATCTTATTCTCGATATTGATTTCATTCTTTAATGTTATTGAAAACGCTTTTTAATTTCGTCGTATTTATATATTAGATAAATGATTGAATATTAGAATAGTAATAGTAATGTAAAAGTCTCAGGAAATATTGATTTTAAACGCGATATACATCGCACTGTCAAAGTTATCAGGGATAAACGACATGTTTTACACTGTGTATTGCACTCTTGTGCATATGAAATTTTTTTTTAATGGATGGATTTTATAGAAAAATAGATATTTTTTAAAATAAAATACCTATTTCAAAAACTCTGTCATAATTTAACTTTTATTATCATCATATCTTAATACATTATCTCATAATAGTTTTTTTGCATCGTATAATATTAATTAAATGGAAATTAATGTAAAAATGAAGAAGTAATGTGACCAAAAAAATGAAAAACAAAATAAAAATTAAAAGTAAAATATATAAATTGAAGTAAAATATTTTTATATTATAGATTTTTACAAGCTTTATAAAAAATGTTAAACTTTTGCTAGAAATTTGTTCAAAGAGGTATTTAACTTTCTATTTGATCTTGATTCTCGAGCGAGATTAATGACAGCAAATACAAGCAAATGCTGTTCGCTATATACACATTTCATATATTATGGATGCTGCTGAGCGAGAATTAATCATTCTAAATGTAGTTCGAATGCAATGCAATTTTGACAAAAATAGATTATTATTCCTGTAAAGAGAGCTGAGGTAGGGATACGCAGCCATTTTTTTTTATCTTTTGACCTCGAAAGACTGGACAACAAGATAAGAACAACTTATTTCCTATGAAAAGAAACAATTCTTGCAAACTTTCAAGTGAATACCTATCGAGAATTCTATATTTTCTCAACTTAACATACTTATTCAAGAGTTTACGCTATCTACGAAACATGTATGAAAATTCGGCTGCGTCAACATGGGAATACTAGCGATTCGCGCCAAAGGACAATAGAAGAGACGTCGTTTCGTGTGTGTACACATTATTCAATCTTCAACGTTGAATTTGTCATTACAAGGTAAAAAAAGACTTGGCGTACAAGTTGCGGAAGACGCAGACGATCGCGAGAAAAAAACAACAATCCTACCGCGCCTCGATATCCGCTCGATAACTCGATAACCTCGCTCCGGCTCCATAAATACCGCGTACAAAGCATCGGCGCCAAGAACGCTCTCCGTTTCCGCGCTCGAATCCGCCGAGAGATGACAGCTGGCCGGTCGACTCACCCCGCAAGCGTTTGGCTCACGAGCGCTCGTTGCCGAGAACTCATTGATGCATCCCGGAGGCGGCGCCTAGACGGGGCCCGTAGATGGAGTACGGCGAGAAATAGGGCGGTAGTCCGGTAGCGTGCGGGGGCGGGGGCGGCGGGAGCGGCAGGCCCAGCGACGACAAAGACGGCGGCAGGAGCGGCGATGGTTTCCCGTAGGGATGGTAGCGCGCGGTGGCGAGGGGGCTCAGGGGCGGCGTGGGATAAGACCTGGCGAACAGGGGGTGGGTCGGGGGGAGCCCGACCGGCGGCGACAGCAGGGACAGCGCGGCGGCCGCGCTCGCGGGATCGGTCGCGCCGCTCGTCGACACGCTCGTGTGACTCCTGAGATGCTGCAGCAGCTCCTCCGACGTGCCGAATCGCTTGCCGCAGTACGCGGTGTCGCCGGCGATCCAGTTGCAGACGTAGGGCAGCTGCGTGCCGGCGGCCAGGGCGGCGAGCTGCGCGTGCGCGTAGACGGCGCCGGCCGCGCCGAGCGGTCCGTAAGGCGAGACGCTGCCGGGTTTGTGATCGCACTGGGCGCATCCGGCCGGACAGGAACCCGACGTCGCGCCCGCGCTTGATATCAATTTCCCGTTGGCGATACTGGCGACGGCCGCGGTGGTCGCCACGGAGCCCGAGAGCAGATGCGAATTCAGTTGGCAGCCGGTGCAGTAGGGATCGCGGCATATCGGCATCAGGCTGTCCGCGGGTCCGCCCGTCGTCTTGAGCCGCGCGTACCCGAGATAAGGATTGGCGGCGACGAGACCGTTCTTCAGGGCGGCGTGATGCTGAGACATGAGCGAGCTGGCCATCACGTCGATGGGTAATTGATTGGGACTGTAGCCCAAGTAGGCGGCGGTGGAGGCCGGGAGACTGACGCCCGGCTTGAACGTGCCCAATGGGAGATCCTTGATGGATGGATCGGTCATGGCGAGGACCCCGGCCGGGCTGTAGGCGGGTTTCGCTTGTAACGACGGACTACTGACGGTCGGCTGAGACGTGGCGGCCTCCGCCGCGCTCGACGGCACCAGGGGCGCCGAACCTCTCGAAGCCGGCGAGTCCCGCGCGACCTCGCTCCCGTTCGGCGTCGCTGTTTTTCTACCTTGCGGCGTGACCGCGCGCGTTGACGCAGCGCTCTGATTGCTAGGGCATCGCTTCCCGCCGCTGCCGGGGGTCCGGGATCGCCCGGAAGCCGAGTGACTCGACGACGATCGCGGCTCGTCCGGGCTGGACGCCTTCTCGCGCCCCAGGCAAGATTCGTACGGCTTGAAACTGGTCTTGGTCGACTCGATCGTCGACGTTGGCACGGTGGCCGACACTGTCACCGTCGGCGACGACTTGTCGCGGGATTGCTCCGCGGTCTTGGACGATCGGTTGCTCGACTTGTCCAGGGAACTCAGCAGCGATTTGTTGGACGGCGGATCCGCTCCTATCTGGCTGCAGGTCTGTGCGAGCAGCGCGAGTGGACTTTTCTTTGCATCTAACTGAAAGCAGAATAGAAGAAATATGAAAATAAAGCTCGGGTTTTTTTTTTTTGTATAATTTTCAACCGAATATTTCGACCGAATAATGGCGAGGCCGTGCGTTTTGTTCGATATAAATTCCGGCATTTTGTTAATCTTGCACGAGAGTATCGGGAAAAACATTATCTTTTGAATACTTCATGGAATATAGAAATTTTTTATATACAAAAATGCGGATCGCGCGTAATCTCCGCAATTTTTTTTTTTTAAAGCAACATATGTTGCGATGAAATGAAACGTATATTTGTAAAAGCTCATTGTCCTCTCTCAAATTAGTTATTAAACTGAATTATTCGACTAATCGTTCAAATAAACGATTTATATATTTTTTTCGACAAAAAATAATTTTACTACATTTTATCTTCATTTCGAAAATCAAGTAGATGGGATTAACGCTGATAGCAAGTAGCTCGTACAACGGATTATATCGATTCTTTTTATATCTATGCGCAATATTATAATCATCGATATTAAATCGCTTTCGAGTTTAATCGATCTTCTCGCGAAGGTAAAATATCACGCGATTTTCGATCAACAGTCACGCTGCAATATTCAATCCGACAATTCTCGAAACTTGGCGCGTGTCGCGTCTGGGTGGAGGCAAGTCCAATTAATGACGCGCAAACCGCAATCTATAACGCCGCGTCACTCTCTCGCCGAATGAGAAGTGACGTGAATAAAGGGTGCGTCGGACACACTTATCCGCCAGAATGCTTGATTTGATTATCGAGAATATTTTTAGGCGAACGACGTGTGCATTTCCAGATTTCGTCCGTTACAATCTTGAAATTGAATTACACCTAGTAGCAGTAATAAACCTCGCACATGGTATAATTCTTGAATATTTATATTATAAAATTATACACTATACAAAATATTATTATATCATATAATTACATATTATATAAAATTATAAATTACACTATAAATAATTGTAAGCAATTTCCTTCTTCCGCGATAAAAGTTGATCACGGTAAATTCAGAGAGATTGATGCGCGTTATAAATTCTCAGGAATCTGACATATGACGCGTCAGCGTGGAACGTCGTTAATAATTACTCGCGTCGATTGTTTTTTTTTCCCCTTCTTTTTCCCTCCTCGAGAACGAAATACCATGGAGCATAATCAATATGCGATCGGCCGATACAGACGTCATTAGCGTGTAAGTGCGGGAATTTAATATCAGCGCCTTGGCGCGCGCATCTCCCGACACGGAGGCGGTCGCGATGATGCACTCGGTATAATTATCGTGCGGAGGAGCGATATTTCTCGTCGACTGATACGTCCACCGAACAGATGTTCCGCCGTAATTAAAATGCAACGATCATGCAACGCTAATCCGCCGCTCACGGCCGGTCGGTACTAATGGCGCGACGCCGACAGATATTAATGCCGTGAATTGCAACAGGCCATTACGGCAACGCGAGGCTATATATTAATTGCGCTCGTGAAAGTTAACGGGAACGTTCGAACGTAATATTTTAATCCGCCGATGCCACCCGCCGGCTTTTGATGGTCGCGACTAATTTATGCGCCCCTCGCGACACACGTCTTCCTTTTGTCCGCGCGTTACGTGACTCTTCTACCGAAAGATCCGAAAGGATCCTCTTCTCCCTCTTTATTCTTTTTTTACTCCCGAGCCCGACTTTTTGCGTCCGCAAGTGCCGCTTTCTAAAAATACCCGCAAAGTTGCGTTGCGGAAAAATAAAGCAAACCGTTTTTTTTTTCACGAAGACCGATCGAACGCTTTGAAGAATCGCCGGATGTTTCACCGTTGCACAATCGACTATATTTATATTCCACGTATCGGCATGTATCAGCGTTTTTTTTATATTATTCCTCGCGAGAGATGACGAGGCAATTAAATTGCATGCGATTAATTATGTAAATAACGCGTCGAAATATTAGAGGAATTTGATTGCCCGATACAAATTGCGCACTATCGATGCAGTCGATCGCGCCGGATATCCAAGAGTAGATCGGACTCTCTATATTCCGCTCGCTTTTCCATCTCACCTCCCCCCCCTTCCTCGCACCCCTCGCCCCCGCGTGCAACAATCAGCATTGTATTACCGAATCGCGCTTTGATTTATGACGCGCGTAAATCAGCGCGACGCATGCCGAGACTTTGCCCACACTCGCTGTCCCCAAAATAGTTTACAGGAGTCCGGAGTATAAAACGCGGCGCGCATGTTTCCCGTCGGGATTAACGAAACGACGACAGGCGACGTTAATGAGCCGCCGGGAAAGATACTTTCAAGCGAAACTTATATACACGAGCGAGATTTTAAAAACGGACGTCCAGGTGCATTAATTAACGTAAACGTTATACGTCGATTCGCTGGTGATTCGTTATTTAAGAGAGATACTAAAATGGGAATAGAATTTCGTAATCGTTAGTCTATTTTCCCGTCATTCAATATTCGTCGGATTCGAAGCTGAATGCGTGCTCGTTAATTCCTCCTCACCTTAATGTATTATATCTGCAATTCTAATTATTTCTAATTATTTATACGCACGTATATGTAACTCCAGATGTGATGCGTAATTTTTTACGTACAAGTTTTATATATCAGAGTAAAAATTTGTCAAATATATTTTGATAATAAATATAGAATAAATATTTTTTGGAAAATTGCTCTTTCCTTTTCGAGATATTCAAGCGAGTGGAAAGAGCATCCTTGCGTTAAAATATGTATAAACGGCAGCCAATAAGAAACATCGGTCATTAAATACGAAGGCTTTGAAAGACGCGAGTCTCGACAAACGGTTAACCCGAGACGTAAACAGCAGGAACAGAGGGGTATAAATAATGAACTCTTCGTAAAGAGCGACGTAGAGAGAGAAGAGAAGAGAGGAGAAAGAAACGACTAACCGTAGTAGGTAGCGGCGTGAGGTATTCAGGACGGAGATACTGATTCGCGCTGGACGTCAGCATCTTTTGCGGTCGATCCTCGCTCGCGCCGTCGGTTGTACTCGACGAAAGCACCACTTTTTTTCCTACCACACTCTCAGGCTCATCGGCGAAACTAATCCCGGGGAATTCGTCGCACTTTTCCCCCTCCCCCTCCTCCTCTCTTACTTATGTATCCGTCGCAGCAACGAAACAGGGGTATCACTCGCGAACGAAGCCATGCACGAGGCTGCACTTTCGACGACGAGTAGCACTGAATCCCGACGAGCACCGGGTAACCAAGTCGCCGGAGCGCAACGCCGCGACAACGCGTAACATCCGCCTCGGTTCTCGCGCGCGCGACGAAAAAAAGAAAAAAGGAAAACGAGCCGCGCTACGAGTCGGACAATCGTACGGGCACCGCCGGGGGATTTTCCACAAGTCGACGCGATGAGGCTCGACTCGCAACTGAATCGCTCGCCGCAGTCGACGTGGAGCGCGGTTGCCCTTCTCGTCGCTCTCGAACCCTCACCCTCACCATTCCGCCGTTCAGCTGACTTCCCCTACCGTACACCGCAGATTCGCGCTCCCCCGGGGAGCATCTTCCCCTTCCTCGCGCCTCCGCGACAACATCGTAGATGCCCCCTCCTCAGTGTCGGACGGTGTATCGCGACTACGACGCGCGGAACGACACGAAACACCACGAGCGGCGGCGACTAACCAATGCGGGCGAAAGAGGCGAACGCAAAGGTGACGGCGACGGCGGCGGCCGCCGAAGCGACACGGTGGTCGTTGTCGGTTCGCGCTACGCCGACACTTTTGCCGGGTGCGAGCGACCCGGCCAACGACGTGTCAACTGGCGCAGGGTGCCCTCTCGCGACTCCCACCACGACCCTGCACCACCGTCGAGGGAGTTCTCGTGCGCCACTTCGTCCTGTTACCTCTTCAACGGCGTTGTTAAAGAGGTATGGATGCCACCGGTACGTAACGCCCGGCACCTGCGCGATTGTGCGAAATGATAAGGCTTACGGCTACGAGATTGTTGAATTTCTAATCGTTCGATTGCTCTTAAAGGGTGGCCGCCTCTTTGGAAATTGCGAGCTTAACGTCGTTTCCACGTTTGACGTAAGAATAAAATACTGGGGCGAGAAAGTAGATTACACCTAGGATTGCCAGACTCCAATTTAGTAAAATTTTTTCTCCGGAGGACGCTACTTGTCCTCCAATTTCGGGATATATCGAAATGTATTAATAATTACGGCTGCAATATTTATTTATTTATTTTAATTCATCTGCCTATTCGATTTCCTTTTTTAAAATTGTGTCCTCCATTCGGGATTTTCAATTCTGGCAATCCTAATTACACCAGATATATATACGTATTATTTTTCTAAATTCGAATTAAGGATGTTTTGTATGTACAATCCCAACAAAAAGTTGCTGAAAATCAATATTGACGAATATATCCACTTTTGGTGTATTTTGAGTATGAGAAATTGTGTGGAAATTTGATTTTAGCTACAGTGCAGAGATGTATTTTTTAATATTTATAGTTTTTACTGAAATATTCCGAATTTTGTTAACCGAAATGATTAACTTTTGGCAGAGAATTTCGCCTTGTGACAGATACATGGCTAACTTGATTGAATTATATTTAATATCATTTTAACCAGTTAGTACTTGTATAATATTATTTGACCAAATATTTCCTCTGTATCTAAACTTTTGCAAATTTTAAACAAATTCTGAATATTATTTCCATGTGTTTTTGTCATTTGAATCAACGTGATTATGCGTTTCCCATAAGAACACATGTTAATTCGATGCAAATTAAAATCCTTATAACTTGTGAACGCTTTAGTGAATTGATTTAAAAATTGAAGATGAACTGAAGATTCTAAACATATGTAAAGACATTCTGTACAATTTTCGTTAAATTCTCAATATTTTGAAAATAGGTACAAAACATCCTTAAATTCTCGGTTCACACATCGATAGATACTTTGCTACGCGCAGGTGAATTTCATTTTTTATCGGTTTCAGATAATTATTGTTATATATTTAATCATGTTATATTTAACACAACATAATTTTAACTATAAATTTTTCTCACAAAATAGTTATAATTAATTATAAATAGTTATAACTAATTTTTATAATAGTAATAATTTTTCTTTAAAATGTAAACGATTCTTGATTGATAATCGAATAAAGATTGATAATTCGAAAGAAGAGGGAGTAAAATTATTTATCGCGTGTACATGTAATATATTTCAACATATCAGATCCTAGTGCGTAAAGCAATAGAGTATCGAACAATATAATATACGAGTAAATAGAGCGTGAAGTATATAACCATCTTATGCACTTAAACGCAGCCTTTGTTCGTGCGACGACGATACATTCTCTTACGCTTGAGATCTAATATACGCTAGCGTTCTTTCAGGCGTTATAAAACTATCCACAATAAAAAGATGCCCGAACAGGTATAGATGGAAGATCTCTCTCTCTCTCTCTCTCTCTCTCTCTCTCTCTCTCTCTCTCTCTCTCTCTCTCTCTCTCTCTCTCTCTCTCTCTCTCTCTCTCTCTCTCTCTCTCTCTCTCTCTCTCCCCTCTCCCCCCTCTCTCTCCCCTCTCCCCCCCCTCTCTCTCTCTCCCTCTCTCCCTCTCTCTCTCTCTTCTCTCTTTTTCTCTACCGTTTCTTAAGCGCGGTTGTAAACAAGGGTATTAGCTAAAGAATAGATTGTCCCAAGTTATTAAAAACCTTCGACTAACAATGAGCACTCGAGATAACATAAATCTGTACGCATCTTCCGTATTTTCGAAAAGTTTTTGTAGCTCTATGACTACAAATTGTCATCACACTTAGCTGTCAACACCTACATTTCGAAATCGCCCGACAAAGTACAAGAAAAGATAAATTCCGAAGTGAAGTGTATTTTACCTGAATGAAGACATTTTTCAAATCCTGTCATAAAACGATCAACTTCAATAAAACGATCGACTTTGACAAACTTTACGATCAATACATATATTACGAATTTCTTAACGAAGAATAAAAGGTGAAAGATATATGGTGAAAATATATTGTCCTGTATTTCTCTTTCTTAAAATGAAATTTTCCGTTTAAAAGCTAAATTACGCACGCGTCAGCTCGACTTGAAAAAAAACTATTCACATATATCTATCAGCGATGCGACTCTTTGTAAATGTAAAACATTTTATCTACAGCGAACGCATTGAAATAGCTTTTTATATTCGCGACACGTGGATGAAATTTAATACCGAAATAAATTTAATGCGAAAACGTTTAAAACGCTTGCACGGCACGGGGTCTAATGCATATTGTAACGATTAATGAATTCGACTAAAATGGATTGAAGTGGTAATGGCAGTGGTGTATGTTGGCGGATACGGATGCGTTAGCGATGCATCGAAATGCATATCAATTGTTTCATGGAAATTCGAGTGTCAATTCCTCTCATTACTATTCGCAAAATTATAGGATTGTGTTGCGTGTACCATGATTGTGTGTTGCATGTGCCACGTAGGAGAGGTGATTTACGTAATTCGTATTGATTATCGAATCCTACATTATCGTGTAACCTGATTTAATTCGGCACTTTAATTAAACGCTCTAAGAGAAGACTACTTGCATAATATTAACTTGGAATTGGGAAAAGATATAGTCAGCGAATATAGAACATGACGTGGCGATAATAACTAAAGGATCAATTTACATCGTAAATTGATATTAAAAGAGCATGGTTTGAAAAATTTTGATCGAAAGCCAAGAATCTCTCAAATTAATTATACATGATCAAAAAAGCAATTAACCACGATCAATTAAAATTTTTAATTTAATCTGAAATGTGCCAAATTACACGAAAAATTTCATACAAGTTAAACATGTAGCATATGTAACAATTTTTTAAAAATAAAGATATAAAAGGTACGGTAATTCAATAATAAATAAATAAATAATTAACGTATCTATTTATTAAAAAAAAATCTATGGATTAATTCGACTCGACGACGAGGTGTTGAAGAAAGTGTACGTACACGTTCTCTTTAGCACAGATTTATACGTTCTTCAACAGGACGCATTTGATATATAAACAATACTAAATTCACGTTGTAGTGAATATCGTCGTAAATATCGTCGAATTTGTAATTTCTTGCGAGCAGCTGCGACGCATAAGAAATGCCGGATTGTTACTCATTTCACTACCCTCCTTCAACGGCTCGTCGTTGTCGAGCTGCTCTGATGTCACAGATAATACAAGACACTCTTGCCAGGCTCCTTCAGTCGGCGCCACATAAACACATCGTCCTCGTCTGTTGAGCCAAGTAGTGGAAGAGGCTCGGATAATTATACACCGCTCTCATCTCTCACCAAAGCGTATCCTCTAACTAGCGCTAATAACGCCGCTAATGCTCTTCCGTGGAAACTGTTCGTATCTAACAACCGCCCGGAACGTCGCCCGGCAGGGAGATAAGATAGAAATAGCATCGGGATATTGTCCGGGTTTCTTTCGGATGGGAAAACATTGACCGAGAATTGTGCAATATGTGTCTATTAGCGTGCCATTAGCCTCTAGTTAATTTTTTCCAGCAACATTTTTTCAATTCGATACGTAATGAAACTACTCCTTTCGAAATCCATTCATCTGATTAACATGATTTTTTCATAATTTTTAATCGGCTTTTATTATTCCCCGCAATTCTCTAACAAACTTTTTCCATTAAAATACTTTTGATGATATTATAATTCATGCTTTTTTAATATTTATTTTATTGTAAAATTTTCATAAAATAGTCATTTTCAAGATTGATTCGAGTAATAATTTGTTAATAATATTTGATTAATTTAATCATTTAAAAAAAATATTGATTCTTTGGAATATTTTAAACGTTTTTAAATATGTAGTCTGACCTGATTTTCTTGCAAAGATTTATAAATATCTCAAAATATATCAAAGATATTTCACGATTCGCAATAATTCTTAACATTTTAGTACAATAGTCGAGCATTGGGTCATACATTTCGTTTTTCTTATGCGAAATGATATAGATGGAATTCGCCTGACGTTTATACTCTGTAGTCGAGGCGTACGGCACATGGTTTGTGCGAACATTATCGTTATCAGTCTTCGGTAATAACAGACCGCGCAGCGCGTTGCGCGCAATTACATGAACGATTTATAGGTTTTCGTCACGCAGTTCTACTTCCTCTGACTTCTTAATGAATGTGCCAGGCTTCTGAAGTTATTCCGGAAAGTTACCATTATTTTCCATCATCTCGCAATGAATCATGCTAATTATGCTTAGGAGTAACATTTATCGTAATATTTGCGTATTATGTTAAATTATTCTAATATCAGTTGATTTTTTCCACGAGATATTTCCACTAGAAACTCCCATTCCCTCTCTCTCTCTCTCTAAAGATTCTTAAACTTTTAATATCGACCTAAATCCGATTCCGGAGGAGTATTTTATCCGCGCTACGTTTCTCGAGCTGACTTCGCTAGTTCGTGATTCCTCACGCGTCATCGTGTCTCATCGTAGCGAGCTACTCGGCGACGGATAATCACCCTCCGCTCACCGCACATCGATCAGGCGAAGCGTAAACACGATTAGTATAACGCACGGGTAATGAACTAATCCCGCCACGTCGTCGACGAGCACGAACGCTCTCGGGGTGGTGTCGCGCCACCCCGCTCGACGACGTTCGCGTGACGTCGCTGACGTTTCTCTCCCCCTTTCCGTAGCCGCCATCCCGCCATCCTTCCACTTCTCGCGCGCTCTCGGGCTCTTTTTTTTCTTCTTCTTCTTCTTCCTCTCCTCCTCCTCCTTCCTCTTCGCGCGCGCTCCAGAAACGAGCGCGTTATTTATGGGTAGTCGGTTGCAACTCCACTGGCGCATTCTGCACAAGGGCTGCACGAAATCGACAGCTGTCGCCTCGTTCGGCAGCTCCGTATATCCATCTCGCCCCCCCCCCTCTTCCCTCCTCTTCGCTCTCCTCATCACCCTCTGCCACCCTCTCGGACTTTTCCACCGATGTCGCAGCTTCCACCGTATATCCTACTCCTTTACGCTCGGAGGTTAAGTTTGTCATCCTATTCACGTATGTACGTATCCATACATTATGTATCGCGGCGGATACGTAAAGCGTCGCGTTAGTCGCGCGATATTTCCATGCTACATGATTTCTGGTAAAAGCGCTTAAGTGCCGTTGCTACTGGTATTGACTGACAAGAGGGAGAAATTTGGCAGAATTGTAAATACGAGAAAAATTTCAAGCTTTGCGCGCCATTGAGCCCGAATATCCAGCTATTTTTCGTTGCGACACGTTT